CGGCAAATCCCTTACGGGTCGTTTACAGTTGTACTCATGCGTCCAAAACACCAGGAAATGAATGAATGTGGGCCATCTCAGGTTGATCTAGGTTAAGTTTCTCATAAAATGTTAGCGAAATGACAGAAAATGTGATCTGAAAGGTATTAAATCATGGCAAATTGACAAGGCAAGTAAATATGAAATGTCATGAAGTCTATATGATGCATGAGAGATTTGACTTCTGACTACAAACTAGCATGATCCCACTGTATGTCATATTCGACTTCTTCCACAGTACTTATCTCACCTTTTTTCTATCTCTGTGTCTGTCTCTTTTACATCTTCGAATCACTCTTCTGTTCCCCTCTCTCCGTTTTTTTCAAGTTGATGTCCCTCCCCTCTGTGAAGCCCGAAGTCAGCTAAAGAGCTAATGATAAGTGTCATAAAGCCTGCCATTTGAAATAAATTTATTTAAAGTTCACATATAATTTGCATAATCAGTGAACAACTTTATATATGTATATATTTTTTTTTCATAATATTCTACCATGTCTTTAACTAATGCGATGGCACGTAAGTAATCACTTTCATGCAAAAAACTTAATTTTAAAACACCGGTTCGTTAAGATTCCTACACTTCGGTCTTTCAAGCCACAGTTCCTAACTTAAAATTCTGCTGTATCCGAGTTTATACTTAAGTGATTTGAGTAGGACAAAATTTCATTAAAGTAACGCAAACTATATCGAATTTAATATCTACAAAAATGGTACCATATAATTTCCCATCGTATTTTGACTTTTAACGTCAGAAAATGTTATCCAAAATACTTTAAGGGAAATAGTGCGTTCCGTTGTTTTAATTTGATGAATATAAATGGTACTCCATTTCCAACCTACTGATATTAATTGGGTGAAATTAGTGTTTGAATTCTATAAAAAATCAAAATGTAGGCAAAGTTACAGGCCAGTTTATTCAAAGATGAGATTACTGCACAATTCACTTAATTTAAATCGGTAAAATCAGAAGCACGACTTCTTGTACAATCACATATAAGTACGGTTACTAATGAAGCACTGGGTTAAGCAAAAGAAAGTCATTAATAGGACTTAATCTTAAGAACCTATAATCGAAACTCCAAAATATGAGAATTTACGAGGAGAAATGCTGAAAATTGCTCACGTCATTTCATTTTACTTTCCTCATTCTAAGTTAACATAATGTTCAAAACCGATCTTGGGTATGGCCTCTTTAACTAAATGAAGTAAATGCTTCAAGAAACTATTTCCTACTCTTATTTTTTAAGTAGCAAGTAATTGCTCGTAGTGAATGAGATATTGTTGTAATCCTACTCAGGCGTCCCTACTTTCCTAGTTGAACTATTTGAAATAACACCCTTTAAATGACATTAGATTATTTTAACCATTCACATATTTTACTTCCTATAAATGACAATGAAAGAATTCAGTGCTGCTCCTTTTATATTACAGAATGGTTGTTCCAACAGAAATTTATTGAGGTATGATTATTCGATGTTGTTGCAGACACTAAAAAGTTTGTTTCTGAGTACTCAATTTCACTAGCCTACATTTTACTGCTATTTGGAGAGATTATAAGTAACTGAAGTATGACCGCTCTGTTAAACAAGAGCGGTGTATAATTTGACTTCACCAGCCGGTCGCATCCTACCTTTTAAAATAGTATCATCTCTCTGACCTGAAGAGGAGCCAATCAACGAATATCACTTAGAAGCCTAACTGAGGACCAATGAAATACGAAGTGTGAAGGACTTCGTGTATACATGTGATCAATCCCCAACCCCCCCNCCCCCCCCCCCCCCACCCCTCCTCCCTATTTCATTCAAGATATCCACCTTCTCACAAATTTTTTGTTTTTTTTCCTTTTTGAACCTAGACCACTAGCATAAGACAATTTGTAAACTAGACGTTTGATTTCAAATGGTATTCATATTGCTGTTACTTGAAAATCAGAACACCTACAAACTTGCAGAAGTTTCGGGTCAAATGGCTGTCAAGTTATTAAGAGTGATGTGGGCCGCAAATTGATTAGATTGAAGGGTGCCATGGGGGGGTGGTTATCCCGATACAAAAGAACAATTCAACAGCATAGAACTTTGCTGTATGAGCTTCCTAGCATAAAGAGAACTAATTATGCCTGAAGTAAAGTCTCTAAATAATGAAAATCTTAATTGCTGATTTATTCTATTTTACTCGTGGGGTAAACTAGAGCCACATTGGAAGCAAATTAGTTACCCAAATACTCACATTTCACAGTACTCAATAATAGCACGTAGTTGCCCTAATGTTAGGCTTTACACCAAAAATTCAACAAGGCAATGTCACTAAAATTTGTCACGTTCTAACAAATGCGCACCTTTTACTATTAATTAACAACGTATTGCTACTTTGCTTTTTATTGCCTAAAAGTTATTCCAAGATCAATATTTTTTATTCCTATTAAGAGATTCTTCTTGAGTTAAAAGGTGCATTCATTACTTGCCAAAACTACTCTCCTAATTGTTCCAGCGTTTTAAGTTCAAATAGAGAACAATTGGAGTAATTTTGAATTTTAAAATGGAGTAAATAATGCAACTTATCTTAGTTTTTTCGCCAGATTCGGGCAGGTTGAGGTAAGTCATCAAAATTAAGCAATTTTTAGAAAACCCTAATTGCCGTGGCATATTTAATACCAAATCCCGACCAACTGCAAATAAGTCACGTGTTTGCTAAAATCTATTGCTAATGGTAAATAATCTCCTTGAAAAATATCACAATTTGGTATAATTCTCATGCAAGCACAAAATTAATTATAAATGCACATTCACGATAAAATCCGCGAACACTTTAAATTAATTGACCACTTATCTCCTCTTCACAGTTTAGCACCTTCAAGTAATTCTCTAATTTAACAATATAAAGAATGTTTTATTTAATTTTATTTCCTCAAAAAAGTTCAGCACACCAATTTATCGAAAATTTAAAAGATTTTATTGTTATATTTAACGGAGATGCGTTATTTGAAGCTCGTTCCGCTTGAGGGCACTAGCAAAGCGAATACATTACTTGAAATACATTATTTTGCAAAAAACGTTAGCCTTATCACAGAAAGGTGGCTTCTGACAGACACCTGATTATCTCGCCTCGTTATGTCTCAGGGGTTTTATCCCCTCTTCTACTCTGTCCAATGAAGAACAACTTGAGGAAAGTGTTGCTGGTTGATCTGATGATCCTGCTGCTGCTGGTGATGATGATGATGATGATGATGTTGCGTCAACGGTACTGATTGGTTAATGATTGGTTGTGGGTTGTACACGTTTGGTGGCGAACAGTTGAATTCATCGCCCTGGCAGGTTTCAGGAAAACTATCGAATGAGGAGGTGGTCGTTTGTGATGTTGGGGAGACAGTCGATTTCCATGGTATTGATTGAGAGTGTTGTGGTAGTGGTGGAGGAAGGGGATTAGGAGCGGTAAATGGTATGAAATCTCCCGCTGGTTGATATATCATCTGCTGGGAAGTAGAGCTCGAATAGGCAAGGCTCGTACTTCGATATGACGAATATTCATCCGTGAGGTTTGCAAAAGGCATTGGATAATCGTTTAGATCGCTCCAGGTAGTGTGAGAATTGCTTGGGTCAACATTCTGGAAGGAAGTAGTGGGTGGGGGAAAGCAGGACTGACTTCGAGCTGAATTGAGCTCAAATTTTGGGGCTTCTTCTGTCTTTGGTTTAGGTGTTGTTGATTTCCATGATGACGATGCCGAATTGCTGAAAATAAAATCAACAATGTCAATATTTCCATCAAACCAGCAGGGATGTTTATCGTCAAATTTCAGGTTGCCTTAAGGGTTATTAGGATCATTACATTAGAACGTCATTCCTAACTTTCTCATTACTGCCATGATGGTTAGTAGGAGCATACATTTTTCTAAGTTGAGAAGAATATGATAACATCTTGTATGAAAGAGTAGATTGCCAATTCTTTTAAACCTCTTTCATATAAATGAGTTAATTCTAAGGAAGGAATAAGCACAGAATATTTGTTACACTTGTGGTTTTTTTTGCATTTTCTGATTTTTGATATTATAGTAAGTGTGCATTATAATTTGATATCCTCTCTTGGGGTAGTGAAATGAGAGACCATCTACTCTCAATGCTCTCTCTTGTGGTAGGTAGGTAGGTAGTCAGAAATTTTCGCGTGCACGCAAAGCCAGAAACCCGAAACCGTTTGGCCACACTTCTCTATCTTCTGCATTTTCTGAGTCCATCTGGGTGTAACCGATTTTCACATCCTCCCTACCATGAATATGCATATTTGCGTCTGAATAAAATATAAAAAAAATAAAATTGGCTTTAAGGACGTTAAATCATATCAGCGGTCGTAATATATTTATATATGTATATATATTACGATTATTCTGCCAAACTCTCTCCATCTGTGGTATACCTACCTCTGCACTGTGGTTATTTTGCCATAGGGGGGTAATAAACCCAGCACTATTTTTACTTTGTATTGTCTATCGCGAACACAAGCCATGTTTATTAGCTGTGTGTGTGTTTAATGGTCGTGCATGATTTATCGTTTTCAAAAAGGTACCCCAAAAGAGATTCACTAACGAATATTCACCTATCCTCTCACTCCCCGCCCAATCTACCTGTTTTCCTTCCTCTCCCAATGCACCTACGCACCCAACAATCTCCTACCTCTTCGTCTTTTTCTGCGGCACTTCTCTGTAACCAAGCCAGTAGAAGCAAATTGTGCATCCCGTCAGCCTAGTTAACCTTTAAATGTCCATAGTATGTGTGTGGGTCTCGATAGTGTCATGATAGGGCGAGTTTTTTCCTCTCCTTGAATACTCGACTGCACCTGCAGTGTGTGTGTGTGTATGTGTGTGTATGCTACTGCTACTGTTGCCGGCATCATCATCGTAACTATAAATGACAAAAAATTCGACCTACTAATACACTCCCACTCAGAAAGGTACCTTAAGTGAATCAGGTGTTAGTCACGACACGATGCGACACACACTTTCTGATGGCAAAAAGACATTCAAGGGCCGGGGGGGGGTGGTGGAGGAGGAGGAGAAGGAATGGACACAGTTGGTTTAAAAAAGAACTCTCCTATACAATAATGAATCAGCATTCTAAGACATCTGTATTCCGAATGTATTCCTGTCTATTGTACGCAAATCACGCCTCCAATAATCATTATATCATGCGCACTTGAAAATTCACAACAATTTGATGGAATAATTAATCACACTAGTGAAGAGCTCAAAGACAGTCTCATTTAGTAGCCGCATAAAGTCGAGGAACAGCTACCTCGCAATTTTCCTTGCATTATGAATGATGCTGGGGTGGTGAGTGAAGTGTGAAGGCATGGCGTTTTTGTTTGAATATATATCGGGGCGAACAAGAGGTTCGGGAAACTACAAAGGTTTGTGGGTAATCAACACGTGGCTAACCAGTTTGTCCTGGTTAGAAGTTGGTAAAAAAGTGCCTGCGCACCACAAAGGGAGGAGTTTCTTTTTTTCTTGTCAGTTCACTTGCATTCATCACTGTCAAGCCGTTCACACTTTGATTCTGTGGTCGTTATTGAATGCGCAAACCTCATTTGAACGTTTACTAGGTGGATGGAAGTGTTCAGAGGGAATTTCAACACAAAGATATATTAGCACATCTCTCACAACTTTGAAGTTTACACTTCTTTAACTGTTTACCATTTTGACCTCTACAAACAAATTTAATATATTTTTAAATAAGTAGCACATATTTGAAAAGGTGTCAGATTTTCACAACTTGAACTTGTGAAAAATCGCAAAGTCAATAATGAATGTGAATTAATTTTAATAGGTGATGCTTAAATAGTGGGATAATTTGCACAAAAGATGTTTCTTTAGAGGTTGATTTAGAACGTGATTAATAGATTACAACTGGTGCGCACGAGTGTTTGAACTCGTGAGTAAATCCTCAAACCAACGGCACAAGAGTGGGAATTTTGGGCTGCTTCCTGACCTTATTTCTTCACACATTAGCAACTAGGCTTGGCATTGACATATGGTTTACATCATCACTCATACAGCTAGGTTGTTGGTAATCTCTAAAGGTGGGACAAACGCCCCCCCCCCCCTAACTCACATTAAACATGACCCCAACTACCGAGAACAAGCTTCCAGCCACCATACAACAGTTTTGAGCTAGTTCACTTGGCTTGTGTGGACTGAAATTCTTAATTAGTAGTATTAGCCGTAGTAAAACAAGGAGATCGCAACGAATGCAATTCTGAACGAAAATTTCTCCCAATGGATCTTAAAGTGAACTTAACATACTTGAACAAAAACTTATCAGATTAATATATCGAGTCTATTAAAGTAATAACACATAACAGACTTTTAATTCTCGAAGTAAGCAGGTTTTTAATTACCTTAATGTCTAGAAGATAGAACATAGATATTTAATATGGAAATGGGATAAGTTGTCATCTCAGACCAATTCAAAACCAATCAAGAATTGTCACGTCAAATTCAAGACCAAAGTTCTATAATGAAGTTCCATGCCGTTTAATTTCAAGTTGACACATGATAAATTTGATTATTTTTCTTGAATGCTTAACTCTTCCACTCCTCATGATTTTTTTGAAGAGAACCTAACCCCTCCAATAACTGGGCATGCGGGATAATTAACGCTAAATATAGAATTAAAGAATAAAGAACAGGCTTGGCCTGAGATACTATTCCAAGGTCTCATTAAGTTTGTATTGACACTATCAAAACACCGTCCTTGTCTCAATGTATCAATATGGAGACCACTAGATTGCGACTTTGCCTTAGATGCTGTAGGCTTTCCAATGCCAACTGCTTCTGATTGGCAGTGGTACAAAATTTGTGAATTCTCACTCTTTGCGAACTTTGAGCAAAGTAAGGGAGCACTCTAACGCTACTGAATGCTCATTTAAACAAGTGTCATCGAGAAAAGAATTCTAGCACATGCATTCTGGAAGAATTGGTGTTTTTACTTGATAAGTAGTTCAAAATTGCTATATCTATTCACGATACCATCTTTACTAGCATGAAGTGCAATGTGAGCTTTAAAGACATTGCCTTTTCTTGGCGGAACAAAAGGGTGCCAAAGGCAGGGGGAGGAGGGAGGGGGGGGGGGGGGGGGGGGGGGGTGGTGGATCCGAAAGCTGATAAAACAGTCTAGCCGACTGAAGTAGACACATATTTAAATTGCAATACATTCGCGGTGGGTGGGATTTGAACCCTGTCCAGGTACAGGTGGTCCCACAAATCCTGATTTATAGGGGCTGGTGTTGTATATTTGTCCTTCAGGTCCCATTAAGAAATAAATAGAAACCTCCCTCCCACCCTTTACTTAAGTACTTGAATGTAACAAGAAAACCATGTTTCGAACATTGAAATTTTGTTTAAAAACACGAAATTAAGCCACTTGATTTATAATCTTAATTGAATTTCTGGTGTGGTGTCTAGCACTGTGGATTTCAATTTTAAGTCATGGTGTGCAAATTCGGGTCATTAAGGGGTCCCGTTTGAGTTGATTGACAAGTCGTGGGAACTACCTAGTTGATATCAGGATTCATTTATGAATATGGTATGTCCCCTGGGATTAGGTTCAGGATAATAAGGTCAAGGGTTTGAATATTCTAATCTGGTAAGAAGGGGGGAGGAGCCAATAAAATTGCGGAAAGTGGACATAAAAACGCTGATCGAGAAACTGAATTAATTTGCTTAAATTTGACTGCAAATGGTCCCCTTTGAGTGCAATGGTTAATAAACTAGGAAAAGAAATTTCTAATTTGTGATGGTGTTTAGCCTAGTAATAATTGATGAACGAATTCTTGGATTTTAGAAGATCTGAACTATTAGAAAGTTTCAATGAAGAAACCCACCGCAGGAGACGTGAGACAACATACATTTAATGGAGATGAATGACTTGAAAATCCGCAATTTACCTAGTTTATTAATTTTATGAAACTCGAATGTGAAACTCGTACAGCAACACTTCGATTTAGTTCTCAGTCCAAGATAAACATCACAAGCATCGATTTTAGGAAAGATCTATTAGGGCAAATTAGCAGGATTTTCATATAGAAAGTCATACCGATTAGAAATAACTGGAAGACTCTGGCATAACAGACTGAATACGGAAGCATTATTTCCTTTTCTTTTCTCATCGTTGGAGACTATTGTAAACTTATTAAAATATACATATTCATGCTATCTTTAAAGGGCTTTTAGGTAGATTGCAAATGTCAAACGGCCTTTAGATTAAATAGAACTAGTTAGCGCCAACAAACTTCTAAATAATATAAAGTGGCAGTTATAGGAATTAGCTGAGCATTAACCCTTTAGCATCTGAATTACTTTTTTGAGAAATTTGCATGTCCCAAAGCAAATTGGAACCGACGTGGTGAGTTTTCGTAGTATCAGGCAAAGTTTGTAGACACGTATTGAACATGTTTCAAGTGGCAATGGCTCACCTTTTGTTACGAGTCTAGTACCAATGGAGCTTATTTTGCAAGAGGATTATATGGTCCTTAGGGCGTTAAAGAGTTAAGGAAACATGGATGATTTCAAAGAAGGGCCCTCGTCAAGTAATTTGTCCTTAAAGACACGTTTCCAATTATGAAAATTTCAGTTAATATTTGCCCTTTACCCAGGAAATGACCACTAATAATTAAGGATATTTTTGCTCAACTTCAGTATTTTTTCTTGGAAACCACTGAGTGTGTGTGTGTATGTGTGCATGTTGATTTAAGTTTGGCATAGGATATTAGGAAAGGGAGTTTTATTGTTATGTGTTCGGACGTGTTTTGTGGGCTTGCTGACAAAAGAGGCTCAGTTTAATCCCACGAACTGAATTTCATTGTCGGAGGAAATTTTGAATTAAGACGCTTATATGCACCCTGTCCTACCACAGACTTATAAAGTGTCTGCTCTGTTAAATTAGATTTTATAACCCTTCCGCATCCGCCAAGATAATATATAGATCCCAAAAGTTTATCCTAGGTATTATTTATTATATTTTTGCCAATAGTTTTTGTGTGAAATTAAGGGAAGTGTTCACCATGAGAGATTCAACTTTTCCTTAATGAGATTTGATTTTAATATTCAGTTAAAGTATACATTGCAACAGACCGCTTTTAGTTCATTTTTATTCATTTAGTACTTTCATTTTCAACAATGCTTTCAACTCCGATTGGAAATTAATTAATTCTAATCCGTAAGACCCTAAAAAGAGTCTACATTAAAGCGCAGTTGGAAAAATATACAAATTTTGGAATTGAAGCTTAAATGACCGTTCTGAATAAGTATCGAATGTCAAAAAATACTAATAAGCTAGATGAACATAATGCCAAAAGATGAAGAAACTAATTTAATGATGTTGTGTGGGAGATAAATCCATTCAAGACGTGAAATTTACGTGACTTAGTAAAGAAGGCTTTGTCAAGACAATAACATAAGCAACGATTCCATTCCAAAATAGTAAATCTTATCACCTTGGTATCAAAATAATGGTTTGATTCGTTGGACAGATAGCTAGTTCTAGTTGTTTGATCTTTTATACAAGAGCACTTATAGAAACTTCGTTTTTGGATAAGTTGAATGAAATTGAAGGAGCACTTACTTAGTGGATGCTGGAGACAAACACTCTCCAGTTCGATCCCGTTGGCGTCGATTTTTGAACCAGTTGGAGACTTGGACAGCAGTGAGCCCTGTTCTCCTAGCCAATTCTTTCTTCTCCCATTGTGAAGGGTAGGGATTTTCGGCATACTGTTGCCTCAGCAATTTTCGAGATTTCTCTTTGAAATAATAGCTCGTCTCCTCTCCATCCCAGATGGTTGGAGGAAGTGGGTGTTTCTTTCTTAGCCGATGACGACCGACAGCACTCAACGAGCACCCTCTAGCCTGTTCAGCTTCCTCGTAATGACCTCTCAACCAGATTTCCTGCAGTCTGGCATGATGTCTAGGTGCGAAGTATCGTGTCTGAAGAATAGCGAAGACATCTTGATAGCGACCTTCGAGAAGTGCTAATACAGCGAGACATTTGACAACAGTGTCACTCTGCTGAACGTTTGGCGGTGCAGCATCGCGACAATAGGCAAGGAGTTGATGCAATCTTGAGTAGTCCTCTGATTTCTGGACTACTTCGCATAGGTATAGTAGCTGATCAGGAGATTGAAGTTGGGTGGAGATGTTGGATGCAGAGAAGTTGTCAGTGGAAGACATAATCGGGAGTAAATGCCAGTGAGGGCCAAACGCTTCAGTAGGTTTCTTGTATGTGTGTGCCAGCATGTGAATGTATTGACCAATCGCGTGTTAGCGCTGAAAGTTCGCGAGCCAATTGGAGGGGTGGGTGGTTTGGGGTGGTGGTGAAACTGTCCATTTAGAGGGTAAGATAATAGCGGGAGCGGAAACTATTAGGACGTTACGCAGTAATGCTATGGAGAAATGTGATAGGTTTTTCAGTCGGTAACACCCTTTCATTTCCCGTTGCACTCGAATTAGTTCATACTTCGAGGAAAGAAAAAAAATATTTCCTATAATTAAAAATTATATTGCCTTCGATTGCATTCAAACTTTCTAATACTTAATATAACCTTTCAAACTCTAAAGGAAAAAATCACTTCTTGAAATTTAAAGTGAAACTATTGTGCAAAATAACCGTGCCACGAAATAAGCGAATTTATACATTCAACTATTCTCAATTTAAGATTCTTTTAAATAAGCTTCGCTCAATTAGCTATATTCAATGCATCTCAGAATCTGGAATCGAATATTCTGCATCATAGCACATTTTGTTGATGAACGGCATGCAAATGTACGTTAACAGATCATCTATTGAAGCGAGTTGTAAGGCTGTAAATTTTCTATTGCTTCAGTAGAGAAATAGGGATACATTTTTTCCTAGACTCGCACAATTAGAGGATCGATAGAAATATCGGAAGCGTAGTGTAGATGAGACAGTGTTAGGGGTTGGACTGATCATCATCTCCAAATCGAATTTCATGCATCTCCGTGGTGATTTATGCATAAGTTTCCAAACTCACACCCTACAAATGGATCATTATCCTGTTCCTTTTAAGTTGAAGAAGCAACCAAACTCTACGTATCTGGTCATGTCTTTTTAGCTATTTATATTCCACACCTTTCCCTTTCTTCGGTACAAATTCGGGTGTGAACATTCACTCTAAACTAAGGCGATGACTGTGGTCTTTAGGGCGTCAGTAGAATAGACCGAACTCGCCTTTTACAAGTGAGGAGGAATGTGTGAAGACCCCTAAAGCGGTCCCATAGCAGAGGTTTAGATAAAACCACCGGCCACTAGAGTCCGCGAGGGTCTTTTCTATCGAATCCTACAAAAAATGAACTGCTGACTTGTTTCATTTATAAGTTCACTTCATTTGAACCTCATTAAATGAGAGAAAATAGTTTATTTATATGGGTAATTTGTAGAATGGTTGGTATTCGATTGCTGATCAACTGTAATAGAAATTCATTTTCCTTTTTTTTGAATGCGTTTGAAAAAAATCATTTAATGGTCTGCATTTTGCAATAATCAGTTTCCAACGCTGTTAGCATCCGGACTCCTTTGAATATAGTGAAACTATCCCTAATTGATGTGGTTTATTTGACTCTAAGCAAAATATTGACAAGTGCTTTCAAAATAACTTAGTGGAATGAAGTAATGAAAATGTATCTATTTCTCATTTTTTAATCAATCAATGAATACTCTCCTTAAAACAACTATTTTTACCCTTTCCCCAGTAGGACTATAGGAGTAGAGCGTGTTTCATGCACATCTGAAGGAATGACGTGCGTGCTGGAGTTGAAGGTGCTTAATGTGATTACTGATTAAATCCCTTGTCATAGAAGATCAAAGCGGCTGGCTGTTCACAAACGTATACCCTGGGTATATAGTTCACTTGAAGGGACTACTACGACAAACATGTTTCGAACACATATTATCCCATATGCCCATAAAATGCGAAGTTACATGTTTTGAGGGACCTGTTTTCATGCGCCGAAAGGGCGATGTCCATTGATTTTGATAAGATAAAATTGAAGTAGACGAAGAGAGAATTTAGCCTCTGATAAACCTCTCAAAAACCGATCTGTTAATAGTCGTTTAGGTAGGTACACTGAGTGCTAAGAATTCACGCATTTTGTAGTTAAAATTTATATTTCAAAATTAAATTGACTAATGCTTGATCCTTTGAATAAGTGATCTACTTAGAAATCCTACTCCTAATGTGATTAATATGCTCATCTATGAGTTTCCACGTTAAAAATCTGGTTTTATAAATCAGCCAATTGTTTTATTTTCAAGTAATGACTCACTGAATATTTTCAAATTATTAAAAATAGAGAACTTTCTATTCGTGTTACATTTCTACTTATAATTTAGAAGTAGGGTGTGTGATAGACTTACCTCCACGTGGTACATCCTGGGCTAGGTATATTCATACGGCAAAAAAGTCTATAAACTGGCAGTTGACTTCTGACTTCTAACTACTATCACCCCACTGAATGCCATATTCTACCATTTCATCAGATCTCGCCTTACATTTGTGCCTGTATGTCTCTTTTACATCTGCGAATCATTATTCTGCCCCCCCCCCCTCTCGACCTGTTGTCACTTTGATGTTCCCCCTCCTCCTCTGTGAAGCCTGAAGTCAGCTAAAGGGCTAATGATAACTAACAAAATGCCTGCCATTTTAAATAAATAATAAATAATTTAGTAGTAGTAGTAGTAGTAGTAAATATTGCATTGGCGACGAAACAGGTTGTATAGGTTGAAGGGTTTAATTAATTAAAAAATGGGAGATACCTATCCCCCTTGTGGTTCCTTGAAATGAATGCATAAGCAACATTGTGGGTGGGGGGGGGGGGGATTCGTCAGTATTATCGCCTTTAATTTGTAACCCCTTAAATATTTGTTATGAGCTTACAATTTGGTCAATCAAGCTGTCAACTGCAGGTCAAATTTTTTTGTCTCAGAGTGGAAATGATGTGTACTTCTTGTTAGCTCTATCATTTATCCTCACTAAAGTACGAAGTATACGGAAGCACCCAAATAACTAATCACTGTATTTGGCTTGGATTTAAACCTTCAATCTTTCCAAAATGATTTGACCCCTATAGTGGCCAATTTTAAGGAGATCAATTATCATCGTCTTTCTCCTCTCACTACTTCCTCGAGCTCCGGTTGAGCTAATTCCGTGTTACTATTAAGGTGTTACCCCAGCTTTATGTGCGTACAAAGCTTAATTTTATCTTATAGTTTGAGGCGAAATTAAGAACAAAATGGAAATCCTTGTTACGAACGTGAAATGAGCGAAATGCAATTTCTCAACATTTTACTAAGCCAGAATTTTATACTATTGGAAGAACTAAGTGGTCTGGTTCTCCCGCCAGATGCTAGCAGTTCATTGGATATCACAAAGGTAAGATTGACTTAGGCACAGGGGTTAAGGCAAAATGCATCTTCCACTCGTCATTTTAATAACTAAACGGAGGATTTACAAAGGAAAGTAATTTGTTCTTTTGGTAGTAGGGGTTGGAGATAGAAACACCACGAGAACGGTAACAGCTACCGGCCCAAACATCTTTCAGATGTCAGGAGGGAGAGGGATGAGTAGGGGTGACAAACAGGGGGGGGGGGTCGAGTGGCCCAAGACAAGGCGATCTCTATTTCTGTAAATTTGAAATTGTTATTTGTGAAGCAAGTTAGCTTGCAAATCCGTCAATATGTTGTCGATGGACAACATGAATGCCCCCTAAATTTCCTTCTTATGCAATCCTGTAGAAAGCAGATGTTGTGTCAAGCATTTCCGCATTATTTACAAACCCCGTGTTCAACTATTCCTCAAATGCTTACAAGTAAAATGAAAAATAAACAATCCAAATAAGGAAAAGTTAATTCGAGATTTATTGTGGTGAAATTATCCTTACAAATGAGCACATTTTCAAATGAAGGGCTAAGAGCAAGCATATACAAGGCAGATGGGAGTAAATCAGAAAGGTGGGCAAAAGAACCCATAGAGTACTACTTCTTACTCTTTAGATAGTAACAATATAAATGAGAACAAAATCAAATGACGCATGTGGAATATGTAAAGGTCCGCCAGTTCACCCGAAGAGTTGTCGGAAGCAGGGGTCGCAGTAGGGCTTGCCTAGTCGCTCCTTGAAGGTCCCAGTACTTAGTTGGCGAAGGCAGTATGTGCAGACGAAATGTTGGAGATGATATCTATTTCCCATAGCATTGATGCACCTACTACCAACGATTGGCTCCCCACATGCAGCACAAACCATGCCAGCGTTGCGTCTGTGATGCAACTCGCAGTAGAGGTAGCCGTCCTCTGGGAAGAAATTCCTGCCTTTTAAGTTCACGCCACAATCCTAGAATTAAGAAATTAGTGATTATAAAGCATAACTAGATTAATTCGAAAGATAGGCTATACACGTGAGGTTATTCAAAGCTTGGTATAACCCTTAAGCGGTAGTTGAATGAAGGAGAAGTTTAAGCCTTTCACTTAAGCATCGAGAGATTTCATGTCAAGGAATCCGGACTCCGAATTCAAATAATCAAACGCGAGACTGATTAAAACAAAGAGTCCTGAAATTCTTTTGGTGCCACTTATTTTTCAATGTTTTGGCCAAAAATATATATATTTCAACATAGCCGCCAATAGAGCGCATTGCCAAAGCATCCTTTTCGATACATAGTACTTCTATAGTTTGGGCACGAATTTTACAAATAAAAATTGTTTCCACTCACGTCTAACTGTTCTTGATGCCATAAGCGACAAGTATAAATAGAGGTGAAATGAAAGTTTACAGAATTACATCAACTGACCAATTAGAATCCAACTATTTTGGACTTTATTTCATTTGCGTTTCCCTCAATCAATTCTCGAACTTGGAATACTAGGCCATTACAGCATAAACAATACTCCTTACGAGGGTAGGGGCTATCTAGGTGCTTTCGCTACTTAAAATGGTAAAACACTGTATATTCCGACTTCATTATCAGTTCAGCATTGATCACCACCATCATGCTTTTATATACCTATGTGAACTTGCTTCATATTCCTTCTATCAAGACACTTATCAATGGCTAAAACTTTCAGAAGCTTCCGCAATATCTTTGGCAATATTAAAATAAATTGTTGTGCACCTGAATAATCCACTACTAATAATTAGATGTAGAGAAATGGAAAAGAATTCGTTAAAATTTACCTTGCATTTGAAGCACTCTTCGTGCCATGGCTGATCTACGGCCATGATGTAAGCATCTGTAATGGGTTTTCGACATCCACCACATCTTTCACCAAATTTGAAGTAGTAGCAATTTCTGAAATTGGAAGAAAATTGGTCTCTAATGCATGAAATACCGATATATTGGATAGACTGTCATAGTGTAATGCAGACTATGTAACTTTTATTTTAATTTATTGTCTATATGGTGTTAACTCAAGCGTACATGGTGCTAAAACTATCGACACTAGTTGTCGGACACAATTGGTTTGTTTAAACAGTTGCTGACTCAAGGTAGGCGCCAACTGCAACTTTAGATAAACTATTAATCGTGTTTATTCTTGGTCATCACTGCACTCTACTAAGTAAGAATGAAATAATGCTTAACTGTCACACTATCATCTATTGTTAAATCTAATTCTTGCAGTAGACCTAAGAGAGCCAATGAGACTGCGTGTAGGTGGCGTAAAAGTCATTTCAAGGATTATGGCAAGCGTTCAGAAAGCGGTGGGGAAAGAAACTTACTGACAGAAGACTTTTCCCTGATGTTCATGAGCTGTTGCATTGTCAACGAATGGCGTATGACATTCCTGACAGAAGAAATGATCCGGATGCCAGTAATAGCCCATCGCTTCCAAACACCTCTGTACACAAAGTAAAGAAAATTATGACAGGCAAAAAGAAGGCTGTCCTGCTGGATCGGCAGAGACTTACATCAACTATCGCTTCACCGCAGAAAGCGCACTTCGGGGCGAACAGAGAAAGGTGGCATTCAGTGCAATACGGAGCACCTTCGTGCTCATAAAAGTACTCTTCCACGACGTTCTTGCCACAGTAGGAGCAGTTGAAATGCTCTGGATGCCAGACTCCTCCAAGCGCAGTTATTACCTATTACAAGAAAAAAATAACCGTTACATAATAGATATTAAAGGAATCTTAAATAAAAAGACCACCCATAACTAACTTTTCCAACAACTGATTGATTACAATGTCGACATAAGGTAGTTGGAGTAGGTTGTTTGGGTACCACATTGCTATCACCATTGGTGTTGTTCTGTTGCTGGGAAACAGGATTACCGTTAGTTGACTTCAGAAAAGCCTTGTCGTTATTAATTGGGCTTGGATAAATCAATTCTTCGGCTATTTCAGAGGGTTGTTCAATGCATGAGCAGGCGTTCTTGGATAGAGGTCCACGCTGTGTTGAGGGAGACGGTTTTTTATTCATTTGTTGATTGTACGGTGGAGGATTGTTGTGAGGTAGATGCTGTTGATATAAAAAAAATAGAAGCAATGAGTGCGGAGAAATACTGCATTCTTACTAATTTAAAATAAGTAGGAAGATCGTTTACCTTGAGTTGCTGAAGAGAAGCCATCAGCTCGTCTAGTTGCCGACTAGCATGTGCTGCTGCTTCTTTCGTTTTCTGAGACACTGGTTCGACATAAAGATCTCCGTTCGTACTATTTGGTGGTGGTTGTCCCGGTAGATCTTCTTCCGGCATCTCCGAATTACTACAAATAAAGCAAGAAATCAATTAAGTGCTAAGTTGCAAGTTCAAGTATATAAGGCCATATGCAGACCAATTAAAGGAATCACAATTAGCAAGTTATGATTTTTTTAAGGGAAGAATCGCCACCCAATGTAAATCTTTTACCAGTTTCACTCGCATTCTCGGTGCATTTTTTAAGAAGAAAACGTTATAAAGCGGACTAACGAAACTAAAATGGCTCCCAAGCTCCAATGCATCCCTGATTTGAAACTAATCGGTACACGGTGGGCGAGTGACATAGTTAACCGCTTTGGTGCTGACTAACCAATAAGAGATGACACTTGGATCCAAGCTGCCCATTAGGCTATAGGTCCGCTATGCTAACCCCCCCCCCTGAGATGAGCAGTAAAAAGGCTTTCTTGAGTGAATGTTGAGGTTACGAGCCTCGAGAATAGGAAATAAAACGATGGAAATGATTGAGGATAATAGTCAGAATATCCATTGTCTAAAATTGTGTTTGCATATCCGAAATTCAATATTAAATTAGGGCTAATAATGTTAAATTCGACTAATTGCTAGGTCAGAATGAATTATGGAAATTAAATTAAACCTTGAAATGGAGGTTCAAATCAGAAATACACCCCGCTTTCACACACTTTTCGCTGTATGTGTCCTTAAATTCGCAGTGTCTCATTAATCTGCGCACAAATTTTGTTTGTGAAAAGAGAGAGAGAGAGAGAGAGAGAGGCTAGCAATGCATGTGGAAATAAACAAGAGAAAATAGATCACTTGCTCTCTATCGCTCTCTACCTCTCTCGCACTCTCACTTATGTGATGGTATAGTGGAGAGCTTTTGCCAAATCCAATAAAAAAAACTTGTTGCGCTGCACTCGTGGAGCTTTGCACCAAAAAATATCGCAAAAGGTGATTAGGAAAGACATTAGTGGCTCCCTCTTCCCCCCGCCTCCCCCCCCCGCCTT